AGAAAGGTTCATGTGTATCAAAATTTGGCCTGCATTACCAAATGGAAATAACAGGGGGATTCTCTCTTCAACAATCTTGTCTACAATGATTTTCTCTATAACACATTATTTTTGTGACCCTGTAGGGTTCTTTAACCCTTCCATTGCCGAGCCAGGAAATATATTTGCAAAATTTGGTGCCATGCAGCACAAGAAAAAAAATGTCCTCACATGAGAAGAGCCAAAGTCTAGAAAAATCCCAATTTTCTTTAAACTTTCTGCAGAAAAATATTGCTAAAAAGTACAAGCCCCCAGGTAAGGGCACCATATAGCCTGGGGAAGGTTAATACTTACCTAACTTAATTCTATAACCGTTATGTGGCATATTTTTCAACATTCCGGCTATATGATTAGTATTGCAGGGGTTCATTTAACCCGTGTGTGACAAAGTTGGGATATGTTTGCCAAATTTTGTCCCCCCATGAGCTTTGAAAATTTAATAAATCTGATTTTTGTTCCAAGACCTAAGTTGGAAAAAAGTCCAATATTTTTAATCCAACAGAAAACTTTGCCTCAAGAAAGAAAAAATCATCACAGGAAGGCATTTTTTTCATGCAATCCCACCATAGGATTAACATTGGGGATTTTTTGAGACATTGGGATATTCTGCATGCAGATCATGCCTTTGCAACCTGGGGCATTATATAGTCACCTTTGGGTCAAACTGAAATGCCCCTCCCCCAAAAAAATCTCAACTTTGCCACTGGGCAGCCAAAAACCCTTTGCTGTCCAAGGGTTAAGAATAGTTTTAACCTCCCCAGATACAGTATTTCTGAAATTTGGATATCCAGCCAAGACTGCATTTCATTGACCTTTGGTCAAACCAAAAAGCAAAAACCTGCAAACATATCCCAACTCAACCTACCACCAACATCCAAGGGCTATAAACAAATTTCTGGTACATCTCTTGAATTTATTTGTTGTAGAGAGAGTCAGCCTGTTTTATCTATTTCAGCAGTCCACCCTGCACCCCCTCACATGGAATCTATAACTTTTACATCATTTTTTAAAATAATTGTCCTCGTAATTGTCCGCATTTTTCGTCCGCACAAACTGCGCAACACAGCGGAAGCTTCATATAATCATATGCACTGCGTTGCGCGGTGGAGTTGACCCCTAATGCGCACAACTCGTTCCAGCACGCCCATGAAACACGACTCGAGTCGCATTCCGAGACAACAACAAAAATATAAAATTAATGGTCGAAAAAAATAAATGAAAAGAGGAGGGGATGGAAGGGAATAAAAATTGGAACTGGTTGTAACTGCGCTGCGGATGCCTCAACAGCAGAGCAAGTTGCGGACGGGTCTCATCCAGAAAATCCTTGTCAAATTGTTGGAAATTTTTTCCGGAGTCAGAAAATTTATTGGAACCCTAATTCAATTAAGGCTTGTAATATATAATGTATTTGTATTATTTCAAACAATGATTCAGATTTCAACGGCTTTTTATGTGCCAGTCAAGCATTTGATTCATCCGTTTACAACAAATTTTAGGGCAGTCTCCAAAATTTTGTAATATTACTGTATTTACTTAAATACCACGCACCCTTGAGTAAGGCGCACACAAGGGTTTTTCAATTGGAAATTTTGCTAAAACCTTATCCTTGAGTAAGATGCGCATCCTAATTTTTAGTGAATCTAAATCCAAAAAATTTTGAAAGTAAAAACAAAAATTTGTCGTTAGACATAAATTGAATACAAATCTGATCAATTTTCACCTTTTTCAGTATAAACAAGTTTTCTTGGTACATTTGTTCCAAATTTCTCCATTATAATTAAGTATAATGCACACATAACTTCCTAAAACTTCTTCAAAAATTTGTATTGCTTATGATGCGGGCCCCTTTCCTTCTTCTGAAATTTGAGAAAAAAGGTGCACGTGGTACTCAAGTAAATATAGTACTTTATACATGTTCTGCATGTCATTGCAACATTTTTATTTTGAATTTTCAAGTTCAATAATGTTGTAGATGAAGTCTTTCAACAGTTTTAAGAGAGCTCATTAAAAATTTCTCAGCGGCACGTTTAATTTTTTAAAATGCGTCATTCATTAATATCATACCACAGCAACCTAAATTATGCATCATTCGTAAGATAATTGAGTTTCCGGAAGTCTGACATTTTTATTTGACAGCTTAAACTACCCAAGAGTCTTAGAACATCATTCGGATTTTTTCTATTTTTTAAGCGTATTATTTTTTTTCAGAAAACGCATAAAGAAAGTTAAGTTCATTGTGATGCTCATCAAAAGAATTTAAAATCCTCGTTTTTAAAGAATTTTAAAATTCAAAAACATCAATATACAGCATAAATTTGAGAAAAATTCGTTTTTTGCTCTTCTTGAAAAACTGCTACAGTATTTTGTTGAGCAGTAGGTTTTCTAAAGTAAAAAGATAGCAATTATCTCGAAGCGACAAACGAGTTTTGCTTTATAAAAATGTATGGAGCATCAGAATGGCAAACATATAATTGTTTTAAAAATTTAATCATGAAAAATCGTGAGATAATCAGGTCAACGCATATTTTCTAGATTGAAAAGCAGGCCCGATAAGTTCTTTTGCGTCGAGTCAAACTCAATTATTCCGCTGCTGGTACATTAAATCAGACGTCATGAAAATGTATTATAATTTTAAAAATTAACAGTATCAGAGAAAAATAAACTTTATGGATGCCCAATGTCTTGGAGAAAACATGAAGGGAACCCAGCGTCGCAAAACGTACGCACGAGAGTATCTTCACTTCCCGTCTCGACTGTCGCAGCACGTGTTTCAATTACTCGCCCACGAAGGAATAAAATCATAATCGAGTAAGAAAAATGTATTATATCTGTCGCAGTTTAATTTGCTTCGCTGGGCTGCATTCTTCCAAATGTCGTCAACAGAAAATGCCGCGGAGGAGAAAATGTAGCATCAAAGGAAATGCCGCGGGAGAAAGGCGTGACGTTGAAACTGATGCCGCGATTGAAATTTAAAAAAAAAAAATTGAGGAATTGCGTTGAATCAACTGATTTTATCAACCAAAGACGCAGAAATGATTCACATGATAATTAGAACCCATGAATAAATGATGAGTGGCAACCTGTACTGATTTTGATAAATTTTCACATTTTCTTCTCTGTTTTTATCCGTTTTTCAATAAATATTTTATTGACTGATTAAATTATATGAGTGTCATTTCATGTAATTTTTGTCAGAAGTATTAAAGGCTGAATCCTTTTCTGAGGTGATATTTTCGCACTGCGACGTTTTTTTGGAATTTAATGTCTTTTAAATATATTTTTCTTCAATATGCTTCAGTTTCTGAAGCAAACCTTTTCTGTAGAGAATTTTTCATCTGTCACATTGCACAAATTACTTTTGTAACATTTTCTAAATTTGCTACGGCATTCTTTTTTTCACCCAAATTATTTTATGGTCAATTGTCTGCCTCGTCATGGTTTGGTACCAGAATATTTTTATCTGTGTCATTTTTCTTGGGGATTTTTGTGTCATTAAATTCCCCGGGTCATTTTGTCATCTGCAGCATTTTCTTCGGTGTCCCTTTTCAATGCGGAATTTTATAGTTATTTTGGGCCATCTTTTCCAGAAATCTTTTCAATTGCGTATTTTTTCTGTGTAATTTTACACCATAACATTTTTACGATCACAGAATTTTCTCCGAAAAGTACGATTTCCTCGCGACATTTTTCGATTTGCGCTGTACTTTCATCGATGAAATTTTATTTTATGACGACATTCTCATCACGAAACCATTTTCCTTTTGCGATATTTTTTCTGGACACCATTCAACCGAACCGGATTTAGAAAAAAAAAGTTTATGAGGAGTGCTTTCTCATCATCCCTGAAACTGGATGAAACCGAATGCCAGCCTTGACACAGCGTCGAAATGTAAAAATTGTATTGTAAATGCGGCGACTTCATCCGCGTGGCGGAGGAATAATTGATTTTTGAGTAATTAGACTCTTTGCTTCCTGCTCTGCTCTTTGACCTTCGGGACTTGTTTTATTGCAATCTCTCGCATTATAATTCGAGGAAGTACGATAGAAGCACAGTATATGGGTTCCCCTCGCGCTTCTTGCTGTGAGAGTGGAACCCCCTGCGGGGGACAAGCAAAAGTGGACTTTGTGAAAACCCTGACCTTCCCCTTGCCCCAAAAAATGCTAAGCAGGAACCCCAGAAGCAGTACTTGGACGTCGCATAAAATATATATGAGTGATAGATACATCAAAGAGAGGCGCCTTTTTTATCTTCTTTTCTGCCTGGATAAAATAACCAGTCTTTTTGTTATTACAATATACATTGAATTCTGAAAAAAAAAGCATCTGGAACTTTGGAAACGACGTCTCATTCACGAATGCCTTTTGGAAACCAGTCCGGAAATGATCGAATATTTCAACAGAGGGTTCAGTTAAAATGTCTTTGACAATGTCAAAAGCAATTGCGATGATTCCATAAATGTATGAATGAAGAATAAAGGTCACTCGGTAAACTTTACTTCCAATAACGCATTTAAATGCACTAGAAAAGCGTAAAAATCGAATTTATAAAGACTTTCATAAAATATTGATTTGTGAAGAAATATTCACGTCATTTTAGAAATTTTCATTCGAAATTTTCTCATCACGCCTGACTGATGATACCCTTTTCACAAAATGAAGAATAAAGCAAATAATCAGCGACTCAACAACGTAATTCATGTTGATTAATTATCCACAATTAATCAAATTAAAATCCTGGAATATTTTGGAATTCATCGAATCCTGGAATAAATCAGAAATTTCACAAAGGTTTGAAATGCTCCGCATTGCGTCGGATGACTCGGATCGAGTCCGTCAACCGAGTCACGAGTGGAAATGGCGAAAAAGATTAATAAACAGTATATTTATGCAGGAAATTGGATGGTCTAAATAAAAAATTAATGATATAAAAAAGGAATTGGGAGGAAGAAGAAGAGACTGACCTCCTCGAGGCGGATTTCCGTTTGTGAGTCGGCGTGCTCACGGCCATCGACGGGCGGCGGCGACGAGCGCTTCGTCCGCCGTCGGTGGCGCCGCAACCGGCGCCTTTGGGCGTCGCTCGGCTGACCGATCGAGTTCCGCTGCGACCGATGGCCTTCGATTGTCGACCCGTCGGCGCCGTTATAACGACCGCGAGCGAATAACGGCGACGTTCCATCGCCCTGAAAAGAATACATTTAAAAAAGATGTTTAATCCTTCAATGTACGAATACAGTATTCCTATAATTTTTGAAATTTAAAATTTTCATCTTTGCCTAGCCTCGGATTGGTTGGACCACTCTCAACAAAATTTCAAAATCAATAGTAAATTCTCTCGCATGAACGGCNTATCAGTACAGGAAAAGAAAGTAGCCCCGAGGACATCAGATCAGCAGCGGGTCAAGGTCAGGCATGTTCTACATCCTCAAGATGAACATGTCCCATTTATGGACCAAGTAAGTCGCAGTAGCTGAACATAATAATTCTCCAATCAACGGAATCTTGCGCATAAATCAAACTCGGCAAAATTATATTCAAAACAAAGAAATGAAGCGAAATAGCTTCAAGGTGAATGATTCATTCCACGCGAAAAACAGCGCCCACGCAGGGGCTCGAACCCTGGACCGTTAGGTTAAAAGCCTAACGCTCTACCGACTGAGCTACGTGGGCTTCATGTGATTCCCTGGTGTTTATGGGGTTATTCATTCACAGGACTTGATGCTCAAGGTCACAGATGCATTATGCCATGCATACAGTGCATTGCGTAATATTTCTGAGTCATTCATTTTTTTTTCGACTTCCATCACCATCAGGTATACCAAGTATATATCAAATATGGAATGCAATTCACGACCTGAATGGATAGCAAGAACTCGACATACATGACGGCTTCGACTCAAAATGCGAGTATTTTGAATAATACGCAAAGTATGATTGGGTATATGCATTGCTGTCTTACTCAACGCTGTGAACTAAAAATTTGGAGCTTATCGGTTCTGTGCATGGTCCCTTTATATATAGACTACTGTGGAGATAAAAACGTTCCTTCTTTTGTGATAAAGGCTCAGCTTATCCAATTCACAAATTGGGATGACAATCGTTTTTTGACAGGTCTATCAGCAGTACATATACGTGATAAACTGAAAAATAAATAAATGAAAATAGCTATTATCATTTCTTCAGAATTCAGTATATGCAATTTTTGAAGTCAGGATTTTTTATGCACAGTGGCATTTTAATTTTTCTGACGGTCAAAAAAGATGCATGGCTGGGTTGATCAAGAGGGCCTATAAGTCAGAAACAATCTGAGAATGGTGATCAATTTTTTTTTCAAAAAATGTCAACACTAATCCTATGCTAGGAATGCAGAAAAAAACCATTAGGGATGGATTTTTTGGAGCAAACAATTTTCTGCCAGCAGAAAAACGAATATTGGACTTTTTCCCAACTTCGGCCTTGCTTATCAGTAGATGTTCGTTTTTTGTGCTTCTGGGTGCAACATTAAAAAAAAATATCCCAACTTTTCAACAGAAAAGCTAATCTTGGAAATAAGATAACTTCCTATGCACAAATAGTACCTTTGTTGCAATAAAATTTCAATGCTAACTCTTTTATTTTGAACTTTTGATTGTATTGAAAATATTAAACTATGGCATGATTTGCAGTTATGTAATTTGATCTACAGTGTTTAGAAGGAAGGCAATTTAAATACAGCTGGTCTCTCACTACAAAAACAATCTTGTCTACAACAATGTTCTCTGTACAGTATAACAATTTTTGTGGTATCACAGGGTTCTCTCTCTGTACTCCAGGGGTTCTCTGCAACAAATTTTTGTCTGGCCCACTGAATTTGGTTGTAGTTAGAAACTTAAAATCCACCTGCATGTGTACATATATCACACTTTCTTGAGTACCACACACATTCAAATGTGATGTGCACCATAGTTTTTTGGCATATTTGCCCAAAAATTATCCCTGCATAAGACAGGCACCCTAGTTTTACATGGTTGAAAAAACTTCTAATTTTGAACAACATAATCCCATGAATGAATAGAGTGAGACAGAGAATTCCAAGTGGATTTGAGCAAAAAACAACTCCCTTTTCATTATTTTCAGTTATTTTCACTTCTGGCTTGCACCACTACTTTCTCCATTTTTTTCAATCCAGCAGAATTTTTGCTATTATGCCCAAAAATACCATGCGCACCCCAATTTCTTTGCCTTGATTTTTGCTGAAAAAAAGGTGCGGGTGGTACTTGAGTAAATACCGCATATATACTGTACTTACTGGTGCCAGGCGGTTCTTGAAAGCCATAGTGCTTCCCCGCATGACTCGCGGATCGTGCAGAATGTTCCTGATGCGCACATCCTGGTTCCTGTGTGCAAAAAAACAAAAGACAAACAACAAGAACATTACTTCCACAGCTTTGCTTTCATCGACTCAACTACTTGGAGGCCTCAAAATCCTCGAGAACATCATATCTTTCGCGTGACAAAAACCGACACTATATGCTGCTGGGCTCTCAATAATCACGAACTTTGAGCTCCCTGTACATATAAGCCGGTGATCGATAAGGAGAACGTCTCTGCATATATATGGCACAGCACATATAGCATATGATGTGCACATGCTGTGAGAGTCCAAGGACATTTATGATGAATTATGCAATGTCCTGATGAGCTCATTCGCCATGCGAGTCGATAAGGAAGCACATACACTGAATGTACATCACTTGATTCTTTTACCGTAGTGACGCGAATGTAACACCTTAAATGCCCCCGAATTTGTTAGAAAAAAAAGGCTCTTATTTTCAAAAAAAATAAAGTGATAGCGAAAAACGTTTTCGATATCTTGATCTAATTTTCGAAACATACGCGCGAAATCGCACTACTTTTGTTACGCGAATGCAACACCTTTTATTCCCCCGAAATTTTATTGGAAAAATTCAGTTCTTTTTTTTTGTGAAAAAGTTATTGGGAAAACATTTTTGATATCCAGATTTATTTTTTGAAACATACAGACAAAATTGCATCCTTCATCTATTATGTTATGTATTTAGATGTTGCAACATCTAAATATATAATAGCATGTGTGTGTGTGTGTGTGTGTGTGTGTGTGTGTATATAATGTGTGCATTGTGCATAATGAGTCCAGTCTGTCTTGGTGAGAATATTTTTTAAAGTTGTGGTTTTCTTTGTAACAATTTCCTGTTTAAAAATGTGTATCAAATGCATTTTTGCATTATAATCAATCATATCCAGGCATAACTTGAGTTACGCCTGGATAAAAACCTAGCTGTAACTAGAGGGCGTTTCAAAATGCCTATAAGGTACACATTAAATAAAATCCTGAGTAGGCGTAACATAGAGAGGTACAAAATGCATAGCATTTTTGGCTAGAAAAGCGTTCAAAACGCATTTCAAAATGCCCAAATTATTTGCTGGGTGCAGATATAATTTGCACCTACTGGAATGTCAACCCCTATCTAAGGGACTTCATTTGTGCAACTGACAAGTCTGTTAGGCAAAAAGTCCTTTAGATGAATTCAATTATATAAAAAACTAAAACTTTCAACTGTCAATTCACAGGAATTAAGTCCATTGTGCAGGAGACTGTTGACTTTACTCTCTTCATAAAGTACAGTATATTACTGCTTCCCCCTGCTGGTATTCCTACAAATCAATATACTCATACTGTAGAACAGTATTTTTCTGCACATTTACAGCATGCATATCACTGTGCTGATGATGGTGCTTGTCTCAGTCACGGAACGATCCAAATAGCAATGCGATCGTTAAGTTACAGCAATTATGAAAAGAAGGAAACTCTGTTGCTTGTAGAATAATGACACGAAAAATATGCCTGCTGAGAAATGACCGAGTATGTAGTTCTTTTCATTTCTTCTGAGAATTGTGTACGTAGTTTGCAAAATAAAATATGCGCTATACGATTGATAAATAACATACAATATTTCAGCAGGGAAATTCCGAAGTTTTTTCTGTCTTTTTTCTCTTTTATTTTTTTAGGCAACAAACAGTATGAATTTTTTCATTATTTTCACAAAGCCAAGCTTCAAAATTTGTTGAATTTGAATTATTCAAATGGACAGACTGTAAGTGCGATAAATTTTAGCATTTGAATACTGTCCTGTATAATCAGAGTCGACGACCGACCTGGTGATCAATTTTTCAGACTTGGGAGTGACATCTGAGTGGCAAAGTTGATAATAGTACGTTTTTCAGTTCACAGAGGACGCAAGTCCATATTCTGATTGTCGTGCATATACTGTAATGCTTAGATTTAGCCGCTCTCAGCTTATCCTCTTCAACGAGTTAAAAAAAGGGAATTGCTCAACAACAACAAAAAGGAAAACAAAAGGGCTAGCGAAAAATCCTCTTAAGTAGTTTGAAACCCTCAAACCCTCATACGGAAGCCCATTTAAAAGGTGTAGCCGGTTAAAATTCATTCACATTCACGTGCCATCAGTCAAATCAATGCGCAAAAAACCATACCAATCTGTTTTATAGAATCATAAACTTCTATTTTAGATTCTTGATTAGGCAAGTATGGCTTTACTGAGGTCATTGACGGGTTGCTGATGAAGTATAGGCACTTCATAAAAATCCGGAAAATACCAAGGAATTAATCAAAACCATTGTTTTTGCGTACCGTGACCTGTGTTAATTTACTTGCACATATGGCATGAAGTAATGCATTTGTACTTCTGTCGTTCTGTTAATTTCAATACACTACATTATTCTAAATATGCTGAGTAAATGTACATCGGCTTCACACCATTAACTGTATTATGTGTCCTGGATGTATCGATCATGCATGAAACAGGGTACATTCATTTTTCGCAAAAAATACAAGGTTCGTTGCCAGGGAAATCACAAGAAGAATATATTACTTAAGACTTTTCTGCGTATGATAAGATTATGTCTTAAAAGCTTAACTTTTCGAATGCTGGTTGTACATTTATCATGGGTAGCATTATACATCAGGTTATAAACAGCATATTTTACATTACAGAAAAATCATAAAATATGCTAGTCTGTCAAATTCTAGATATGTCGATTCCTGTGTCCATCACTTAATTTTGATAACAGCTGACGATGGATAAATTAAAAAAATGTGGACACGTTGTACAAACTCGGAAGCTTTTTGAATTTTCCAGATGATATCCTGGTATGAAGTTCAGAAAAAGCCACATTTTTAATACAAGAATAAAAGTCTAACTTCAGAAAACAATCCGAATCTTTGCAATGATGATCTCGTTATAAAAAATTTCCCTTTCTCTGAATAATTTTTAAGTTCCCCATTTCTTTTGACGTTTGAAGTGTACATGTTTTAATTTTTTTTTGCAAGGAACTGGATCTCGTTGTTACCAACGTACGGAAAATAATCTCCAAAATCGAGAAAATTTCTCAAGATACTGAAACTGCCATCATTTATAGAAAGACGGAAAACTGACAACATTTCCGAAATTGTTTCATCTCTTGAAGATGAAATTCGGCAATCGATATTGATCAAAATTTAAAATTTTTAGATACGCATTTATTCGTGATTCAAACAGATTATAATTGTGATTCTCTTATAGGTTTTTTGATAATCTGTGATGATTTTTAGGAAGTTATTAGCTTTTTGGGCTCCTTTTCATGCCAAAAGTAAAGATTCTGCAGGGTTTTCTGCTGCAAAAAACATCATTTTCTTTCTCTTGAAGTATTTAATTTTTGAAGGAATTTTTAAGATGTGGGAAAATAGGACAAAAATTTGAATATGTACCCGATGAACTAATGTATATATGGGAAGTTGGGAACACGTGATAAAGAGCCAAGGTTCAAGAACGATTCACGTCCGCATCTCGGGGCCCCAGCACTGCATTTCTCTTTCAATCTTTTTTTTACAATTTTATTTTGGAAAACAAATTTTTAAAATTTTCCATACCTGTCACGAAGCAAATTGTCAGATTCATAGGGATCCAAAGGCGTGATCTTGAGCTTCTCAAACGGGATCAATTCTTCATGTCTCACACGATGCACAGTCTTGTATGGCACCACAACCGGGGCGCTGGCAAAAGTAAAAATCTGCGCCCCGGAACTAGTCGTGGCCAGCGGCCAAATTGACCACGTTTGCATATTGTCGAAAACTACGAATCGCCGCCCCGGACGACGTGTCACAGCCGCCGCCGCCGCCGCCGCCGAATCTAGCTCGGACGCCGCGCAAGGAAAAATCCCGGGCAAGGAAACGTGCCAACGATGATCGAACCTGGGTTGCATTGTTCTTGTTGTTGTCGATGGCCATGCCGATGATGACGATGTTGGCTCCCAAAAGCCCGACATGTTCGGGTTATGGCCATGGCGCGACTGACTACGCGAACCCCGGGGTTCCGGGCTTTTTTGGCACAAAACGCGACGTTCGGGGTAGTAGTGGGACTCGTCTTTTCCTGTTTTACTTTTTTTTTACATTTGTTGGTGTGTGTGAGTGTGCTTTATTGACCGGGAAAACGGGGCTTTTGTTCTACCTGTCTGTGGAAACCCGCACAGTACAGCAGCAGCACCTTCACCACCGCCACCCCCCGAGGCGGTAATTTTTTTTTTTTTGTGGGGGGTTGAATTCTGGTGACACGCGATTTGGATGAGCATGAAGAGTTCATGTATATATGAATCAAATCACGGATCACGCATTTGGAGGAAAAGATTCACATGCATGTCACAATAATAAGAATGGAGAGATATGTTTTATTTGGAAATAGAAATTCAATCAGAACTATATTCAATTAATTTTAAACGTGACGAACGTTTACCAATTTTTCGGAAAATGCATTTTTGAGAAGATTCGGGAGGAAGCATGAGCAGGATACAGTTTCCGCAAATGGTCTATCATTTTCAAAAAAAAAAAAGATGCTATCGTTTTGTAAATTTCGGTTTGAGTTCATGAAGTGTACAATTTTTGAAGGCGGGATCGCGGGAATGAATCGAAAGGAAAATTCTCAATTGGTACCTTTAATTTCTGAATTTTGAACTGAGTTTTCATTTTTGAAAAAACAAAATGTTTGCCTTAGCTAGAAAACGAATTCGTGAGACTTGCCTACATCTCAATTTGATTTTGATGGACTAATGCTGCACGAATGTACGAATTTCCAATACGAAAAAGTAAAAAAAAAAAAAATTGCCATTCAAATTAATTCCAATTTTTTTCTTCATTTATTGGATTATTGTTCCCAAAGGAAACTGAGAGGCTACTAAAAAACAAGTAAATCCCTGAAGCTTGGAAAATTCCAAAAAATCTTTTAAAATTACTTTAAATTTTTCCTTTTATTACTCAAAATTATGTTAAAATTCAGAAAATGAGGCCATCTATGGTTTATGAAAATAAAAAAAAGATTTATGATGCTCATGTGATTAATGTACATTTTCATAGGTAGTAACTGCTTTTTTTTGTAAGGAAATATCAATTTTTTTAAATAAACCAGAGAAATTTCATTTTAAATGATCTACATTGTTTAACATTGTTCAACTCTCCATAAAGAATATTGTCTGCTTTTGATAATGTTCAGATAGATTTCGATGCCACCATTTTACGTGTACTGTTCATTATACCCAAAGTATTCCACCTTTATTCGCGAACTAAGAGTAATCATATATGCAAGACGGTTGGGCAAACTGAACGGCTTCGCCTGAATGACTAACAATAACTCAGTCCCCCCCCCCCCCCCCCCCCCCCCCCAATATCATGGCCTCGTTTCAAAGCAAAGCATTTAGGCCACACTCGTTGCAATATGCACGTTTTGCGTCACACGAAATGCATCAAAAAACCCGTCGAGAATGCGTGATTTGACGGAAAATTCGATAAATGCATACACAATATCCCGAAATTGGGCTTGAGTTTCCGGCCCGAGTCATTATACACGGCTCGTCTCGCGCCAGCCAATAATTAATTACGTATTAATCAGTATAGGAGGAAGATTATTGTACACGTCATGTGCAAAAACCTGCTGAGTCGAAAATTCGGAATTATACGAGTCTTGGAAGGGTGGGTGTGGGTGGTTTTATTTCAGCGCAAAAATGCTCAATTCTTTCGGCGAAAATTATTGTTTTCAAGGCTATATACGAACAATTTTGTTTTCACTCACGCGATTTTCACTTCTGTCATGATAATTGAAGAAGTTATTTTGAATCTTGATGGAACGCTCGCATTCAAGAAAATTATCGCCGTGTATACCTGAAATTGTTTTATAGGATTTCAGGTACTGTTCACAACTTCCAAATTGCTGGTAAACTGATATTTAGTATCAACTATGAGAATAATGAGTTTTTTAGGGATACAAAAACCCCTAAAATTAAAAAAATAAATGCGACTGAGGCTCTCTTTTTTTCTAGATTTTATTTCAAGAGTTTGGATGCGTTTTTAATTCGAAGAAATACAAAACAATGAATTGATGGATAATTAGTTCGATGATTTTTCAAGGACCCTTTCAGGCTATTAATTTTGCTTTTTGGGTCTCGATATAATAACTGTCTCCATACAGTGCAGAAACTTACGAAGTCCTAAAGTGGCTTTGATGTATGCATATACAAAACTAAAAAATCCCTTTAATCCTGGGCATAAATAAATTCATTAGTAACCCGTTGAAGTAAATTTAAAACTGAAAACACGTTCAAATACTAAACATTTTTTCACAGAAATGAAAAACATCATCTATTCTTGATTGATTAAGAAAAGTGGTAATTAGATAGTATGAAGACGAGAGGGATATATGACAGACAAAAGAAAGAAAATATAGTCACATTTGCCAGATTTTATTCCATATTTTAAATCCTCTGAAATGTATCACAATTCTTCATTTTTGTAAATGTAACCCCTTTCTGCAATCGATCAGCTGGAATTTGCAATTTTTCGATGTTTACATACGGTTTAAAAATCCAAAGGAAACTCCAGCAAACGATTTCTTGCCTCATCATTCAGTTGCATTTTTGTGCTCAATGTTTTTGAAGTTTTCAATAAATTTCGTGTGAATCATCTTGTCACAATTTTCAGTAAGATACAGATTTGAGTTGATCACTCGACATAGAATTTGAGACTATATATTTCATGCGTTTTCTTGACGTGTTACATGAATTTTAAAGAAAAGGGTAAAAACGAATTCATTGAGAATGTAGGTATTGATTTGGAGGATTATTTTGGGATTAAATCAACTGGAATCAACGTCAATTTGATGGGACAAAATGCTTCACATTTCGAAATCTAAAAATAAACAAATACGCGAACCAAAAGGGGTTTGCATGAAGAAAAAAAAAACATTTCCCAGGCCACAAAGACAGGCGATTATTGATTCTTCCGTCCCCCTGTATATTCCTGAAAAAGGGGTCCTTTCATCCTCTTATTTTTCTTCCAGTTTCGCCCGCAAATTTATTGGCGTGAATGGGCTTCGTTTCCTTGGCTACGCCGGAAATTCCGACAAGAACACTGCGCCCATATTGGAGCCGTTTCGCTGTTATGGCGTCGTTAAAGTACCAGGAAGTACCGAAATACGCAGACGCAGAAGGGGAATAATCTACCTGACTTCTGAAATTTTCACGGCTCTCGTGCCGCTCAGGATGAATTGATTGATGCTTTTGCCAAAATTTCCTTCACGCAATTTTCGGCGAAAAGAATGAAACATGAGGTTTGAACGGGAGAGCGATAAAAAAAATTCGCGGCATTAAAATAAATAAATGTAAGACTTTTTGAAGAAACTTTGTTCGGCGCACTTTATTTGAAAGCTTGCGGTATTTTTTATTTATTCGTAACATCATGCTCTATTATAACATTAAAAAGGAAATGAATTTTAAAACTTTTGCATGTAAAGACAAGCTTAAAAATTTCAAACAAAATTATAAATCTTTTTTTACCTAGTCATAAAAAAAAAAACCGTCAATGTTCAACCATTCTCCAATAAATCCAAAATTTCAATAATTCCTTCTCCTTTGCAGGAAATTTTTCATAACTGAATCTCAAATGTGCCAAAATGGAACACGTCATAGGTATAGTGCCAAAATAGGGTCTATATACTCAAACTGAAAAAAAATCACGTGTCATGAGTCATGACTGAGAGAAAAATATCACACTGCAAAATTATTTCAGTAAAATCACAAATGCACCGCTTTGAAATGACACTTTCGTCAAGCTTCTTTTCGAAACACTTTTTGTCGGAAGGCTTGAAAATACGAACATGGGAGCAAAAAATCAATCTTCTATCTGCAATTATCGTGAAAATTTTGGGACAAGCTTTGGATATCAAAGCCTTTCGAAAGCTCAAGCTATCTTGAATTTTTAAATTAATACACTCAAACAAGATCAAAACAAAGAAAATCAGGCTTCTTTTAAATTTTAAGATAAAAGGGCTCATATTTTCCCTCGGTAATATCCTGCTCTTGAAGCTACTGTAAATTTCTTTTTTTTTCGGTAAAGTATTTTTAAACTCATGCGAAAACGGAATTTTTTCTATTGGTCGGCAGCAATATTTAATTTCCAACCGTGAATACAGTATTTCAAGATTTGTGATCAAAACTTAGGCTTGGAAACATATAAAAAACCCCTTTGAGGTGGCTTCTAGGAAAATCAACGTAGAAAATCTCAGCAACCCTGATCTGAAATACGAATACTACTGTAAATCTAAAGTATTTGTCAAAGTACTGTATCTCACCGTAAAAAAATTTTAAATTACAAAGGATCGAACGTCACTTTCGCAAATATCATCGTAAGGTAAATTTCTAAAACTCTAGAACTTCCGGTTTTAAAACTTCAAATGCGTCTTCAAAAGTTGGGAAAAAAAAATCTGCACGAACAAATATTGCTAAATATTGACCTCTGCAGGTGGAAAACATAGTCCAAGAATATTCCGATATACACCATCCAACAAATTACCCCACGCTTTGAAAAAAATGCATATAAAGCCGAAAAATACACATTTTTTGAACTTAAAGACACCATTACCCACTCTTACTAACCACTTAATAGGGAGTGAAACAAGGGGTACAACAACCTTCATTTCGAGCGCTTGGACCTTTTTTCAAGGGAAGAAAAAAAAGAAGAACCAGGTCAAAGACTCGACGGCCTGACTCGGAATCAGGCCAAAACCATGGGTGACGGTCAAGCCACATGCGAAACAACATACCCATACACACTCCCACTTTTTTTTTTTGCGTATTATTCGTGCAAAAAAAGAGAAAAAAAACTTGCGTGCCCGCGGTTTATTCATTCATGGAAAGAAACCCCGACTTGTGAGGCGGAAAGGGAAATTCTGCGCGCCTTGTCCCTGCTGCTGTTTTTTTGTGTACATTTTTTTTATACTTAAATTTTTGGGACACGCACCTGTTCCCTATACTGAAGGGTCTATCAAAATACCTGGAAAATTTCACTTCTTCAGATGGAAAAGACAGTAGCAAAATATTGTTCCTAGAAAGCCGTTGACACGTACGTGGAAAAACCTTGGATGTCACAGAAAAAATCCACATAATAAGCTTACGTGGTGGAATAATTATATCACCAATTATATAATGTGTCTTGAATTGTCTAGAATGCTCTTGATTAATTGAATTGGGCTGCTGTTAAATGGCAGTCCAGCATATTAATTAAACATTCAAACCA